TAAATATTTGTATCTATAAAGAACGTATAAACATAAAAAAAATGTCTTTTATTTTATTTTTATATATATATATATATATATATATATATATATATATATATAAAAAAAAAAAGATATTTTTTATGTTTATATGTTCTTTTTATATATATATATATATATATATATATATATATATATATATATATATATATATATATATATATATATATATATTCGATTGAATATCAGTGTGTTGCATTTTTTCAACTTTAAAGCGAGTTTATAGTCAAACATATCATACCATTTTGGAATGAGGCCGACTCGTTGAGAAAATTAAAAACATTCCGGGTCGCATCTGAGCCAGTAATCCTGACATTTGAGATTCCCATATTTTCATTGCTACCATTGTTTTGACGCTTTTATTTTTTGCGACAATATTTTTTTTTCTTAGAAATAAATTTGGAAATAATCGAAATTAATTGCGAAATCCAGCAAAAGTTACCAATGAAATAAAAATAATTGTTTGTAGAGAAAGAAAGGACCTACTTACTTAGAATTATCGTTTAACTTTTAAAAGGTGAGCTTAAATATTAATGCAATACTTAAATGCAGTGATCAATTTTGAATTTTCCTGTATTTTATTGTTGCCTATCACATGCGGCAGCAGTATACCAAGCAAAAAGTAATCTCCGCCATCAAAGGACCATATTGGGATCAAAAGATCCAAGGCTGCAGCGAGGAAAAGGAAACCTTTGTGAATGTGAACCTAGATCAAATGGCAGCCAGGAGAGCTTCCAATGCTGAGAACCTGCAAAGACTTAGGGACTCTTATAATCCTGAACAAATCGAAAGCTCAATCAAGAGCCCTCTGCGGTAGCTATCTTAAATGCCGCCCGATATAGCAGTTTTTAAGCTGGTATATATATATATATATATATATATATATATATATATATATATATATATATGCCAGTATATATGTTGGTAAATCAATATGTTCTGAGTTTAATGATGGAGAAGCATTTTTCATGCGCGCTTCTGTCTGCCCATGGCATACATAACCATTATCTACTTATATATCTAAATATTGTAGGCATAGATGAGAAAAATGTAAAAAGTCCATCGTCGATGGCAACTGAATCCTGCCAATGTTCTTTTCATCGGGGCTGGTGTCGGGGAAGTTGGTTGTAAGTTAAAAAAAAGGGTTTGAAATTAGACGGATTTTCATATTAATCGCATTTTACGATCGAATATTTCTTTCTATCCCATGTTGCCTTTCCTCTGACACATACATACATATATCTATCTATCTATCTATCTATCTATCTATCTATCTAATTCTATTCATATCTATAAGTGGACATTGAGGTCAACATCCAGCGGTTTCATGCTTTGACCTCAACGTTCCCTTTAATATTTACATCTGATCTATCCCTGATATTGAGCATTTAAACAGATGAATAGATTGAAGCTATATATATATATATATGTGTGTGTGTGTGTGTGTGTCCGCGCTCGCACGTACATCTGATTGAATCAGCCACATTGTCCCATGGTGTTTACATACCAAATATTTGTTTTACAACATAATTTCTTTCTTTGTTCCAATGCTGCTCCAACATTTACTTGGGATGAAGCCGCAATTTATGTATACTGCACGAACTATATAAATTGTGCATGTTTGCCGCTGGCCATTTTGCCCACTAGACAGCATCGTACACAAACAAAACTTTCTCTCTCTCTCTATCTCTCTCTCACTCTCTCTCACTCTCTCTCTCTCTCTATATATATATATATATATATATATATGTGTGTGTGTGTGTGTGTGTGTGTGTGTGTGTGTGTGTGTGTGTGTGCAGATATGTAGAAAAATAGGAAAGAACACGTTAGGTAAATAATCCGGAGTTCTTTAGTATTTTTGTTTTTATTTTAAAAAAACAGTGCTCCTTACAGAAGTAGAGCTTAAATTATAATTATTTTTAAAAAATATGATTCCTTCGCTACATAAGAGTTCTCATGTTTCAAAAACGAGATCGGAAACCCTCAATATAATTATTAAAATTAAATTGAGTTAAAGTATCAAGCCCTGTTTCATCCTCAAGTGAAAATTTAGGAATAACCAATCTTGAAATTTACGCATCTTTATAAGCATGTTCATTCGCAAAGTTAATTACCATGGAAACGGCTGGGACTACCATTTTGGTAAGGGGGCTAAGAGTTAATTTTTATCCACATATCAGTCACCTTCGGAAAGATGTCAAGCCAAGGTAGGGTTGGGGGTATCCATTTCAAAGAGGATGATGGCATTCATATGCGCATATCGTCTGCTCAGTCATAGCGAAAGATAGTTTTGCCACCATAATATGTCGTTAAGTGTCTAGAGAACTTTGTTTTATTTTATTTATTTATTTATCCTTTTGTTTTTTGTTATTTTTTTTTCTAAAGGGCTGTTTCGTACTTAAACGCGTCGCACTGAACTACAATTTGTTTTTGACGACTTCCTAAAGAGGTTTTCTATCTTATGATTGGTTTTTAAACCTTTTATTAGACTATGAAATTTATTTTTTTATGCTAATTATTTAATGCGAAAATTTGTTGATGTCGGCAGAAAACCGTTAACTCATGTCTATGGTTTAATAAATTTTCATTATTTAGAAACTTAAAAGGTTAATGATTAGAGTTGTTATTTTTTTTAAATAAAGCGTTAAGAGGTCATTTGTTAAAAAAATTGCCTGAGGATTCCGTAAGGTTGAAACCAAGGTAGCGGATTCAACTCTTCTCTTAAATATATCTTCTATATATATATATATATATATATATATATATATATATATATATAGAGAGAGAGAGAGAGAGAGAGAGAGAGAGAGAGAGAGGGAGGGAGAAAGAGAATATGTAATTTTAGAAAAACAAGGACTTATTTTACAATTGGCTGATGTATTGACTGTATCGATCACTTCGATCTGATAACTTAAATAGAAATATGTATATAACTATCTATATATTTGCGTGTCTGTATGTGAAAACAAATGAGAAGGAAAAACGCTGCCGATGATCTGTTGATGGGAATGAATTCTGACATTGTCGGAGCTTAACACCCACCTGGGAATTCAAACAAATGATTTGGAAGCATTTTCCTTGCCCAGGAGATAATCGCGCGTTCATATTCAACTTTTCCATTTTTTTTTCTTTCCCGACTCTGTGTATCGACGCAAAAAAGAGCGAAGCTAAAAAAATATATATGACGAGAAAAAAAGAGAAGCAACTCCAAACAATTTCTTTTCCTGCCAAATCAAACCCACTTATAAATTACATGTCGCAAATGGTGAATCTAGAGCTCACGTGACACGGCGAAATCATATCAGAAGACCTTTTTATTTTTGACGATTTCCAAATCGGTCGACATTAAAAAGCTCTTTGCTGAAATGATATACAAACGGAGGCGTAGGTTTTAATATTAATATTTCATTAGTTTTACTGTCATTTCACTTTTTTTTCTGGCTTTTTATTGCAATAACACGGCAATGTGGGAATATTGACAAACGACTAAGAAATTAAGAATGAAAATTCAGACAGGATTTTAATAATTATCTTGCAAATGTCGTCTAGATGTTAACTAAACTTGACACAATGTTCAATGTGTTGGACGGTAAGAAGTCTGTTTATCTAGAAAAGGTAATGACTTGTCTGGAATACGATTTCAACGATTCATATTAATCAATACTAGTAAAAAATACAGAGATCTTTTCTTAAAATGGTTAATTGGTTGGTTGATTTTGTTTAATGGCATATAAATGTCTATGGGTTATTTAATGACAACATCGAAATATTTTCTAAGTAACTTTATACTTTCAGGATAAAAGCATGTGTAATAGATATTTAGATTGTAGATCATAAAATGTAATGTAATGTAAAATGTATTTTTATATTTTTTTAGTGTTGTACTGATTGTCATTTTACTATAAAAATTATATTGATACTTATTTTATTATAAAAACCAACTGTTGCTTTTTTGTTTAGCGGTTTCCTAGTATATATATATATATATATATATATATATATATATATATATATATATATATATATATATCATAAAAAAACAATTTATACAAGGTATTAAACAGCAATGTTAATGTGATTAATTGCGAAATAGCTTCGCTAACAAGATTTAATGAGACATTAACTTACTATAAATTCCTTGAATAATAAGATCCTTATATTCGAGTTATTGCCAGATGAAAGATTTCCAAGTACTTTCGACACTTTCAAATTGTCATCTTCAGGGTGCAATTTCCTATACATACATACATTCATATATATATATATATATATATATATATATATATATATATATATATGTGTGTGTGTGTGTGTGTGTGTGTGTGTGTGTGTGTGTGTGTATTCTTAAAAGTTTTTTCTCTTTTTATTCTAGATAGCATCAAGAACATTTAGTTTTGACTCATTAAAAAAGATCACTTCTGATTGAATTGTAGCCGTGTACATTGATTAACGTAAATTTTAAAAGAGTGACAAAACAGATATATTCTTGTTTAATGATTCTATCGATGAAAATGGAAGAAATTATTCAACTAGCAACTAGCAATTACGGTATATTTTGAGGTTTATATTTGAAGATCCGTAAAAAATATGCACTATATGAATAAGGTTATGTAAATAAACTAAAGTGTCAAAAGAGTTTTTCGAATTTTCGTTTTGACGACTTATATGCACAAATCTACCTTTAAACTCTTATAACAGGAAAGAGTTAAGATATACCTCAAAATAGGTCGCAGGGAAATGTAATTTCATGCCTGTAAACACTATGTTTCACCGGATATAATCTGCGGCTTGCCCATTTGTTTAAATATGAACGCAGCTGAAGAATATCAAATAAGTATAACCCGAAAAAATGTATGAAAGACAAAAAAACAATAAAGCCTAAAATAGGTAGGATCATTAAAATAATTAATCGCAGATCCTCAGAACAAAAAAGAAGACTGAAGAATATATCGGCCGAAATACTAAAATAGAAGAAAACAGTAGTCAGAAAAATGGAAGAAGATAATTTGAACATTTATCATGAATTTAAATAAATGTAGGCTGAAAAGAAAAAAAAATGTCCACGATAGAGAAAAATGCGTATTTGTTTGATTATTGCTACCAGGCAAATACCATTGGTATTTGAATACCTGGACAATACTATTGACATTTACATACCAGAAGAATATTATTGCTTTTTACATAGCAGGAGAATACCATTGACTTTTGCATACCAGGCGAATACCATTAACTTTTGCATAGCAGGAGAATACCATTGGCTTTTGCATACAAGGAGAATACCGTTGACTTTTTCAGAGCAGGTGAATACCATTGACTTTTTTATAACAGGCGAATACAATTGACTTTTGCATATAAGGAGAATACCGTTGACTTTTGCATACCAGTAGAATACTATTTTACTATTTACGATCGTCTTTTTGGATTCTGATTCTGAAGATGAAACTTGTAATAAATGAATTCAAATTTGATTCGATTAACAAAAATAAGGAAAATATGAAAGTTGAAGGTACGGCCTTGATTGATTTATTGATCGATTGGCAAAAAAGTCAATATGCACAGACATAGATTGATTAATACGACAAAATCAATAAGTATTGAAAGTAGCAGAATCATATCAGGCCAGGATATAAAGACACATACACATAGACAGGGACAGTCTTTTATACATACACACATACAATATATATATATATATATATATATATATATATATATATATATATATATATATATATGGGATATGCCATAAATTACCCAAAGTACGTTCGAGCTTTTTTAAGATCATGTTTGTTTTACAAAAAAATTCATAAGTACAACGGATAAATTAAAATTTTAAATTAACTATAACATGACACTTTCACGCATGTTTTATAAAAATTACCTTCACAACAGAATGCACATTTTATCCCATTTACAATCAGATTGTCTTTGTAATTCACTACCGAAGACGATCTCGGAAAAGATCGAAAGTACTTGGATTACAAAAAACTACAGTACTTCCTTCATGAATTTTACCTTACCATCAAGACACTGCTTAAAGCACTGGAAAGGAGCATTCTAAAAATAGACACATTGTGTCTATATTATTCAATGATATATATATATATATATATATATATATATATATATATATATATATATATATATATTCATTCAGAGTGAAAGAAAAACATCTACAAACGATCTGAGGTGTACCGAAACGGTCCTAGGTCACCCAAAATAATTTAATACATGATCATTTAGTCATATTTTAGAAAGTGTATCGTAACATGAGCTTTACAGCCACCCCTCCTGGATAGAAACAGATTAGGTTGATAAGCAGCATTTACGATAGATCTTCGAATAGATTTCCAGTAAAATTCGACACTAATTTCGTCCCAATAAAAAGGAAAGCCAGTGCGACGAAACCGGAGAGGTTTTAATTTTCTCTGGTTATTTGACACGAAAACTATACACACATTTGCTGAAGGCTGAAATCAATAAGGGATCAATAAAGAAAAAAATGCGATCCTGAATATATTCGGGCGCAGATTCGATCATATCGAGACGGAAAATGATGAGATAAATATCGAGAATTGTGCAGCTTTCAACATTGGGTAAAGATAATTTAATTTATGGCGAAGAAGGGATGCGGATCTCTACTCATTGGATAAGACATATCGACATGAACAAAAATAAGACATTTTTATACAAAACTTTGATGAGGAATGGAATAAGGACAAGGTGGAACAAAGCATCAAGACGTCGAATGAAGCAAATATATAAATAGCTAGGAAGATATGAATAGATCAATTGAGGCATGAGTAAAATGTAATAGATAGATAAGGACAGACTGAGATAGATACATAGATAGATATGAACAGACTGACATATATACATATATATATATATGTATATATAGATATATGTATATATAGATATATATATATATATATATATAGAGAGAGAGAGAGATGAGACAGATAGAAAGATTTGAACAGACTGATAGATATGAACAGAAGTAGATATATAAATACATATAAAAATGACTGACATAGATAGATAGATAGATAGATAGATAGATAGATAGATAGGTAAAAATGAACTGATTGAGATTGATAGATAGTTATGAACAGAATGGGATAGATAGATACAATAGCCGAGATAGAAGCCTAATGTGATAGACATAAAGGAAAAGAACAAATATAAAAGGTAAGTTTAGCTCGATAAATAGATGACAAATAAGTTAGCAAAAGAGATGAAAAGAGAAAGACAGAACAAAGAATGAAAATGACTGACACTTTAGAGAGAGAGAGAGAGAGAGAGAGAGAGAGAGAGAGAGACGATTGGCCTGAAGATTGCGTTTAGCATGAAACAGCCTGTCGCCTCTGAGTGTTGACTTCAATGTTCACTTTTATATTTATATTTACATACGCTCTATCTCTGATATTGAGCACTTGGTCCCATTAATATAGCAACCTTTAAACTATATATATTAATATGTATATACATATATTTATATCCATCTCTCTCTCTCTCATATATATATATATATATATATATATATATATATATAGAGAGAGAGAGAGAGATGGATAGATAGACAGAAAGTGTGAGAGAGACAGACAGACAAACGTGAAGAACCTGACAGCAGAAATACCATGCACATAATAGTAAAACATTAGGGGCACTGGTATCTTCAACTAGTTAATATCTTACGATTAAAGTGCGAGCTATTTCTGTCGTTTCCTATACAAATCGGGATATCCTTAGAGTGCGGATAGCCCTTGGGTAGCCAATTTTTCATTAGCCGTAAGTTCGATTCCATCTAAAAGCAAGATAGAACTGATTTTGCAGGCTGACAGATATCCATTTGCATAATTTCGTCAGTTTCAAATTCTTTGACGAAACTTGTCTGCATTGAGTTGGTATCTCGCAAAACGATGTATGCTAAGAATATCGTCGAAGTCATTGATAGAGACTTCTTAAGTTCAATCTTGTCTTCACAGTCGCAGCCGTCAGTCTAGGTATGTGGAATTTAGTGAAAGACATTTCACTTATCATTAGGTCGAGGTAAACCATACATTTTTTCAATATTAACAAACGTTTTCTGAGATAGTTATGTTTCTGTCTTGTGAAACTGTTGTTTTACTAGATTAGTAATCACTTCCGTTAGCAGGCAATCAAAGCTGCTTATCAAAGAGAAGACAATCTCAGGCCACAATGTCCACTTTTAACAAGAAATAGCGAAAGGTCTAAATAATCAATTGACGTTGAAACAAGTGCCCCAATCTATTGGGCCAAAGCACATGGCCCGGCCCACCACCCGCGGGCAGATCTATGATAAGATGTATCTAAAAAAAACGATTACATGACAAAAGACTCACCGACAGCTTATTAAAATTCTCTTTATCTGTCCGAGGGATGAAGAAATGCGCGGCTTAATGAAATGCAACGATGTATCTGCTTTGCCCGGACATTCATATCGCTAGGGAACAGTTATAATGCAAGTTGAACTGATTCAAATGAATTAAGGTAAATTGAGATCACTTCTGTGTTCTCTATATGGGTGAGGCTGTGTACATCTGTGTGACACGACTGGAATAACCTGTTGTACTGGTCGATGTTTTGGTAGCAAATATGATTCAAGGGTTTCCTCTTCCGGCAATTATATCTCGAGATTTAATTCGGGAGAAATGATTGAAATAGATACGAATATTTCCTCTTTACCGTCTTCCATAAAACAGCATTAAAAGATTTTGATTTAGGAAATTGCGACATATATATATATATATATATATATATATATATATATATATATATATATATATATATATAGAGAGAGAGAGAGAGAGAGAGAGAGAGATCAACACCAATCGGCGATAATCTGTTTCGACTATTTATGGGTTTCGATGTCTATCGTATTATCCTAATGGTTATTGGGTGGGCGGTAACGTTTAAGGTTCAAATTATTCTACACCAGTGATTAGGGATAATTCTACGTCCAAATGTAGTTATTTCTAGCAATTTTATGTTTTTCTTAACTTTTTACTCATTAGTTATTATTGATTATTTAATTATCTGTTGTTGATTATTATGATTACATTTCCTTGTGTTTATCTGTGCATTTGTAGTTTGTTAATTTGTTTATTATTTATTCAATTTGTTTATTTATTTGATTAGATTTTTTATTTATTTCCTATTTTTTCGGGGATTGGTTACATTATTTGTTACGTTTAAAGAATTGACTTTGCTTTTCCATTAGCAGCATTGTATATGACGTATGTATTTGCATTTTATTTTACAAGCTAGTCATTTTAATTTTAGTTTTTAAGAAACGTTTTTTAGTTGTCGATTTTTTGGTAAAAGAATTTTTTTTTTTGTGCCTGCATTTTGAAATAAGTTCCGATCGTTCATTTAGTAATTTGTGTTGGTCTGGGAAGGTAATTATAGCTATTTTCTTCTCCAGACAGAGTTTACAGTTGAGGGGGGGGTTTGTTGTTGGATGATGTTCTCTTCCTTCTTTTACATGGTTATTTTGCAATAATATATTTTATATTTATATTTACAAACTCTCTATCCTTGATATTGAGCAATTTCAACTATAAACATAGCATACCGTAAAACTATATATGAAAGAAATTTACTTAAAATAAATAGACAAAACTAGTCTATATTATTTAACGAAGCATGCATTAATGAAAAACTGCTGCCTAAATACGCACAATATATATATATATATATATATATATATATATATATATATATATATATATAAAAAACAACAGAAGTCAACACTTAGAGGCGACAGTCTGTTTCATGCTAGACGCAATCGTCAGGTAGACTCGTGGCCTGACGATTGCGTCAGGCATGAGACTGTCGCCTCTAAGTGTTGACTTCTATGTTCACTTTTATATTTACAAACGCTCTATCTCTGATATTCAGCACTTTATCCCATAAATAGAGCACTCTTTAAGACTATATATATATATATATGTATATATATATATATATATATATATATAATTCTGTTACGTTTCATGACATTTGATTTTTCGGATAGAGAACGTAAAAGCATTGCTGCTTCAAATTGCCTAGTAGCCGAGAACAGAAAGCTGCAGCAACAAGATGGTGGTTATGACATCGAATAAACAATGCAGAATAAATGAAGTGATTTCGTATGTCTGAAGCACAAGGCAATAAAAAATTTACGTGCAGCAAGGGAAATGAATCTCTTTGAATCATATCATTATTTTCCGAATAAAACTGAAATTTTTAAGAGGTTAAAAAAATCCAATATTATTGGCCTTTCCCGCCACCTAAATTAAAATCGATAATTTTGAATTTTGATTCGAGAAATTAATTTTTTTCTTTACAACAAACAAAAAGAAAAAGAAAAAAAATCCTCAAAATAATTAAAACGAAAAATGTCTTTACAATATGTTCCCCTCCCTTTCTTCCCATTTTCTTGCTTTCACTTTTCTTTGTTTTGCTATTCATTTGGAAATATTGTTTTATGCGATCAAATAGAATCATATTAAACTTTCGATTCAAATTTGACCCAAAATTCAAACTAATGTCAGGACTCATAAATCTTGACACTTATGTACAATTGATGCCCAAAATAAATAAATAAATAGCAAAAAACAATCTGAAATATTTTGTTTAAGATTCAAAATAAAACATTTCAAAGTCAATTCAGATTAGATTCCTAATTTCAGATTCCGATGAAAAGAAAAATGATTTTTAGTGAACAGAAAGTTATTTAGCTTTCTTTTTGTATCCAATGATTATTTACAAAACATAGATTGACAGCAGTCAGCCAAGGTATTTACTCATTTTTCGTATCGAGAATCAATAATCATTGCGATAAAGAAACACACTCTCTAGCAACAGCCTCTTTGCAAAAGAAAAAAACATTTCGCTCTCGTCCTAGACTGTTGGTAAAATATTAGTCGAGGCAGAATGGTAAAAATGCGGCGTCCAAAGCTAAAATTCTTAAAACCTAGATAGTTTTTAGATGGATATTTTTTTAAATAAATGTCACAAAAGTGTTGTTCAATTTCAAATGAAAGTAAAGTTGTTGCCGCTTGGAATTCTTGGGATAATAACAAAAGCAGATATTTGAAAATGATATAGGACCGAACCCTATGTTTTTGCTGATGAATTCCGATGATAAATTTATAAATCAGTCCAAATAAGAACAATAGTTAACAATAAAAATAATTAATAATAAAATAGAATAGACAAAAAAATCTATGTGTTGGTAGGGTAACGGATATCGGCGCGGAAAGTAAAATTGTTGAGTTCAACTTCCAAACTAGTTTGCTGTGTTAATTTTCGAACAAATGCCTTTGGGAAAAGAAATGAATCTGTCTCTTCTCCCTCTGTATATGGGATAAATAACATTTACGTTGATCTTTTCGTCGAGAAGTGTTTGATCTTCACTAGGTGTCCACAACTGGAGAGGAGGTTTGTGAAAATTAAATAAAGTCTGATCAGAGAGAGAGAGAGAGAGATATGGGGTGGGGGGGGGGTTAATAGCTATAAATAATCAGAAAGAAAAAAGATATAAACAGCATAGGATATGGTACTTTCATATATATATATATATATATATATATATATATATATATATATTATTATTATTAAATGTTCAACTAATACAAGGGCAAGCGTTACTCAAGTAAGATGCTTACTGAATGAGATCATTGTATGGAAGATATGCAACATAGATAACAGTTGGCCCTAAACCTGAAGATGATTGTAGTCATCGGGGAAGCATCCTCACGGGAGTCTGTTTCCCAATGATAGATAGATAGATAAGGACAAACTGAGATAGATAGATAGATAGATAGATAGATAGATAGATAGATAGATAGATAGATAAGGACACACTGTGATAGATAGATAGATAGATAGATAGATAGATAGATAGATAGATAGATAGATAGATAGATAAGGACACACTGTGATAGATAGATAGATAGATAGATAAGGACAAACTGAGATAGATAGATAGATAGATAGATAGATAGATAGATAAGGACACTGTGATAGATAGATAGATAGATAGATAGATAGATAGATAGATAAGGACAGACTTTGATAGATAGATAGATAGATAGATAGATAGATAGATAGATAGATAGATAGATAGATAGATAGATAGATAAAGACAGACATTGATAGATAGATGGATAAATAGATAGATAGGTAGACAGATAGATAAAGAACAAACTGAGACAGATAGATAGATAGACAGACAGCAGACAGACAGATAGATGTGTGTGCAAATAAATATCTACATCAACGTCCAAACTCAAATTCATAATCACAATCACTGAATGCCATGATCCAATGTTATTTATATCCTAAGAGCCTTCCGTAGCCTGATAAACCCTCCCGTCGTTTACAACGAAAGTAAAACTATTTATCGCAAAGCGGCATCTCGTCCACACTTCCATCGACCAACAAAATAGACGCGAGAAACAGTTTTTAGATCGCTAAAAGTTTAATTAGTGCTGATCTCATCCCACCACTATCGACTCATCAATAATGGCCAATAACTATCGACAGCGACCAGACGAGTGATTAAGTTTGAATAAGGATCCTGAAAACATCCGGGCATTAAACCAGCCATTACATGTTCTTGCATTTCAGCCAGAAATTTGTATCTAATTTTTTTTTTACTCAAATAAATACGCATTTATGGTGAAGAATTCTCTTTCATTCTAGGAGATAATATAATTGGTGAAATTTGTTCATTCAAAACGAGAAATAGTTTCAGAAATATTTTAATCAATACAAATCTGTTACATTCATGCAAGATAAAAGGTTGCAACTCTTATTTGTGGCGTCAGGTTTCTTGCACAGCCTCGGGAAAAGTCGACAACTAATTAAAATGACGGATGACAAATAAATATTTGAACGAAAGAGAGCCCGATGGGGAGACGTTGCGATAAAAGAAGTGATCTGAAATATAATGACTGAAGGCGACGTCGTACAAGATACACACAAACGCACAGATTGAAACATAAAATGACTGATCATCTCCCTATCTACATATATATATATATATATATATATATATATATATATATATATATATATATATATATGTTCCTCCCAATTATTTTTCCAGACACAGAAACTAAGTGTGTTTTTCATTACAAAGCTTCCTGGCTGTCAAAAGAAATTAAATAAGATTTGCGAAACTTTTTAAAAATATTTCTTACCATTTTATTTTCAGCTACGCTTCACCGCAGACTGACGCGACCGATTTCAACACAGCCTCGTTTAGACGCAAACCAATTTTGAGATAAAGCTTTGCTAGGAAAGTTACAAACAATGAGTTTGGCTTGAAGGGGACTTTAACAATGAGGAGAGAAAATGAAGAAATTTACAGTTGGATTAAGAATATTCCGCTGCAGTCATTTCCAGGCAGTTCCATTTCAGCGGCACGCAAACACAATTTTCATTTCATGTCTCAAATCTTTGTTTCGAAAAATTTCAAATATTAAAAAAGTAAGAAAAGTTCTTGAATACATTGCTAAATAAATAATCTTCATGTTTAATCTCGAGAGATACATTTAATTATTTATTTATTTATATTTTAACAATATTCGATTTTCAGGTAGCGTAGCGGTTCGGGAGGTACAATCAATGAATTGCATTCACATTCGGAGCGAACCTGTTACATTCAGACCATTTCTCTTCAGAAGGGCGGTATGAAAATTTATGAGTTAAATAAGGAACAGGTTTAGATGCCAACCAGCCGAGGACAAAGAATTTTTTAATTGAAACTGATGCTGCAAAGTGAAAGAGTACACACATTTCTACTCGTAATATACATACACTACAGTTCAAAAGTTTGAGGCCACCCCTAGAATTAGTGAGGGATGAAGTTGACAGAAGAGCGAAAAAAATTATAAAGAGCTCTTATAGTGACTGCAAAAAAAAATGGAATCAAACTTATACTTTGAAAAACGCTTGCAGTGGATGTCAAAAATTTGTGCTGCAGTAATCTAGGTTAAAAGAGGATATTTTGACGAGAGCCAAATTTAACCATAAAATGCATTTTTTTCTAATAAAAAATCATGTCTCACTTCTTTTTAACCATGTATAATAATTTTCTCATTTAAAGTACTAAAAGTACTTTCTAGGCCAATTCAAAATATTACCAGGGCTTTCCTCAAGCTTTTGAATTGTAGTGTATATATATATATATATATATATATATATATATATATATATATATGCATGTATATGTGTATGTATAGAGAGGGAGAGAGAGAGAGAGATCCCAATATTCAATTGAATATAAAATCACTCTGTAATCTCTCTCTCTCTCTCTCTCTCTCTCTCTCTCTGGATGACAATATATATATATATATATATATATATATATATATATATATATATATATATATATATATATATATATAATAATATAAATATAAAGCAGCTATACTCGTCCGGCAAAACCTTAGGTGTTTTAGCTTGTAAATGAACAAACCAATACCCAAGGGTAAAAAAAGAGTAAAAAAAGAAAGAACAAAGAACATGTACTTCCGGCGGAAATAATCGTCTAGAATCAAAGTTCAGAGACCAAAATAAAAAATCTCCGACACAAGTAAAGTAAAAATAACTAAGCAAAGTGCTCAATACGCTAAATAGAGCAAACTAAGTAAACCTAAAGAGCCAGACAAACCTACCTAGGTTTCATCTACGCCGATCAATCTGCGTAAGGGAAACCTAGGTAGGTTTGTCTGGCTCTTTAGGTTTACTTATTGGGTAGGATTCGAATCTGCATCCCACAGAGCAGAGAGAGCTACCGTTAGAAGCGAGGACGCTATAACGAACTGAGAAGCGAACAACAGTCTGTTAGGCAAGGCCAAATTTGTGCATTTCAACGAAACTTCTCTCGTCATAGAAATTTTGTGGAGGCTACATAGTTATTCAATATTAAATAGAATTTTATTTGTTTAATGTTTAATCTGCATAATTTATGTTTAGAAATAAAGAAACTGTAACAACGCAAGAAAAATAAATTAAAACGTAACTGCTGTACCTTGGCAGTTGTTTTAACGTAACTTGTAAAAAAAGTGGGATTGCTTCACACACACACACACACACACACACATATATATATATATATATATATATATATATATATATATATATATATATTAAATAGTACATTAGAAAAGGAAGTCCATTCATAACTTAATTCTTGGTATTTGTCTTTTTGGAAGACAGAGCCAGTATTTCAACTTCTCACTCTTTCTTTCTCATTTTCTTTTTCTCTCTCTCTTCCTTTCTCTCTCTATCTCTGTCTCTCACTTTCTGTCTCTGTCTCTCTCCTCCTCTCTCCCTCTCTTTGTCGCTCTGTCTCTCTCCTCCTCTCTCCCTCTCTTTGTCGCTCTGTCTCTCTCTTTCTCTCTCTCTAACTCTCTTTCTCTCTCTGTGTTTTCACTCTCTCTCATTCTCTTTTTCTCTCTGTGTCTCTTTCTCTCTCTCTCTCTCTTTCTCTCTCTTTTTCTCTCCGCTTTTCTTTGTTAAGTATAAAACTTTGTAGCTTTTTCCTTTTCAAAAATTTGCAAACTTCGAAGTTCATTAAGTCTATTCTTTACGTCAGACAAAGTCAAATGGTAAATACATCGCGGACCGAATGGAAAATTATACACACGATCACTCCCTAAAAATCGCCATTAGAATCTATTTTCTCGTTCTATTTAAACCAATAAAGCATTTTTTATTTTATTTTGTCCTTTAAAGTTTCATCTGAAGAAAGATTTCATTATTCTTTCTATTATTCCTTCTATTATTATATCAAACACTTTTTCAGATTTTCTTCTGAACGACTTATGGTTAAAAAAAAAACTCGTTTAGGTTCACAATGATCGCCAAATGTTTTTTTTTAATTACTTGTGTTTTTTTAATTATTTTCTCTGTTTTTTTTATCATTTTCTGTGTCTTTTTTATTACTTTCTGTGTTTTTTATTATTTTCTGAGTATTTTTCATCAATTCTGTGTTTTTTTTATTAATTTTGTGTTTTTTAATACTCTCTGTGTTTTTTATTAATTTCTGTGGTTTTTTTTATTACTTTCTGTGATTTTGTCTGTAAATTCGAAGTCAGGAACTCACATAATTTAGACATGAAGAAAACATTGTAGTTCTTTTTTGTTAGTAACATCTGTATTAATTCCTGACCATTGACAATCCCTTTCTTACTGATTGGAAATGCATATCTATTGTAAAATATTTCGCAATGCATTTACATCACATAATTTATCAGATCTGTTTAGATCTCTTCGATTGTTGTTCTCTCCGAAATTCTTCATGTGTTTGTCGACCTGAGTAACTTTTAAGAAATTTCAAGATGAACCCATAATTTAGTTGACAAGGGCGGGGGGTGTAGGTTATTTTTGTTCTGTTGTCCACGACTTGTGATATCCTTTATCATTCTTTTTAGTATTGCTATTTTACTGGTCGTCTTGTTTCTCCTAATTTTACGTCTGTACGAATTAATTGAAGTTGGAATTACTATATCAGAATAATAGTCTAGCTAAGAAAAGCATTAGATGATGAATTTGCTGATGTAGTTGTTTCGAGTTCAATGTCTCAAATCAGTGGAAACATTGTGAGCAATAACTGAGCAGTAGGAAAGAGAATGAACAGAAACACGATTGATTTAATCAACTTAATCCCGCTGTATAGAGATTATCCAGAATATTTGGTTTCGTTTGTTTTGTTTTACGGCATATCAACCTCAACAGGTTATTTAATGCTGACAAGGTTTTATTGCTGGAAATATTTTTCTTTCAAAAATATATTGTTGATAATATTTTTCCAAAATTTTATTGCTGGGTAATTTTTTTTTCAAAAGTGTATTGCTGGTAGAAATCTTTCAAAAAATGTATTGTTGGTATTAAAACCTATTTCTATACTTTCAGGGTGTTTTGACCCCATTTGTTGGTGGTGGGTAACTATTTGCGCATAGTTGGGACCCTAACAGGTGCTACCACCCCGGGTCAGGGTGGACGTGGGAACACCAGAAATTAAGACGTAGTTCCATGCTCCTGAAAACCTCTTGATCAGAGGTCTTGCTGTCGGATGTAGTTTATCGTCTTACCCAGGACGGTACAATGTCTCAAGTTAGTGGAAACAGAGTGAGCAATAACTGAGCAGTAAGGAGGAGAAAGAGACATGACAGGTGAGAGAAACGAGAACAATCTGCCCCGTAGATTAATTATAATTCTGTTTCTTCAATAATGCTTGCATTCATAATAATAATAATGCTTGCATTCAATAATGCTTGCATTCATA